GAGAGCGCCATTGGCAGGGGGATGGTTATGAACTGCTGGTGAGGGGTTGTTTGTTGCTGGTGGTGGTGTGATGAAGACGACGACGAGGAAGACGACCCATCACCACCGCCTGTAGAAACAGACAGAGTCACTCTCTAGCTCTGAGGTCGATGGACATGAGGAACGGGACGATGAGGGCTCCTGACAATAGCAGGGCATCAAGATTACGGCGTCAATTGCTACGAGTTCTGTGGACAGGAAGGATGGCACGCTGAGGACGTTTGAAGAGGACAGAGTTACGAATGGTAATTCAGAAGAAACCAGCAGGCATCAGACCCAGAGCGTCACTTGTTCGCTGTTAAGGCCAACAGACAGGAGGGATGGCAGGCTGAAATCTTGACGAGGAGAGGGTTACGAATGTAAACATCAGACACACAGCGTCAAATGTTTGCTATGAGGTCTATGGACAGGTGGGATGACACACAGAACTCTTGATGAGGACGGCGTTACAAATGGTAATTCAGCACAAATCAGCAGGCATCAAACACACACATTACACAAACATTCCTAATCTGTTTAATAAAGGCTGCAAGTGTATGAAACATATATTTTAGCCTAGGCCCTATATAAAAAAATTAAAATAAAACAACCAAAATGAATTTCGAATCGATCCGTTCATTTGGTATGCGAGGTCTTTGGTCGAGTAGTTAAATAATTTTGTGTCAGCTCAGAATGTTCCATGCTTTACACAAAACCGAGGATTAAATATTCCAGCATGTTGTTAAAAACAAATGTTATACACTACAGATCTCTAAAAGTTGCGAATTGTGCCATGAACACGTCTTTTGTGCTCAGCCCAATTAGAGATATTTTATAAAATTATATTTTGGGTATGAAGGACGCCGATGGACACTAAGAAGTGTGCATAATCAGTTCTTATTTTGGACCAAAGTATTCGCAATTTTATTGTTTTTCAAACTACATTGCTGTACTGTGCCACATGTCGAAGAAAGAAGCAGTCAGTATGCATTTTCAATTCTGTACTTAGTTATGATAAAACGAACACACACCACAAAACCAAACAGTTATTCTAATCAACTTTCGATCTTAAAATTGTGGTTTGTCCCACTGTCTAACTGTCAATGGTAGGAAAGAAAATTTGAACTCAGAAACGTGTATTATTTGAGGTTTTCACGGCGGTGAGTCTAAAGACGGCCGTCTTCAACTTAGAAATAGTTTAGAAGTTCGGGAACGAGCATAACTAGGTCGAGGTAACTGTGAATGCAAGAAACAGGAACGGAGGAGGGAGGTTAAGTATGAAATATGCGAGGAAGTAATTTCGATCTCATGAAATGAAAAAAAGATATTCGAATTCCGCTGTGCCACAAGACCACCTGCAGAGTTTCTGAAGTGGCATGTTGCAAGCTTCCAACCTGACACTACATGCGTACAACGCAGTTCCCAAGCAGAAAAGCACAGCAGAATAACAATCAACTACTCTGACTAATTGATTTAATTACATTCAAGTCAGTCATAGACGAATAATTTCGTAACAATTCTCCATTACATCAGCATGGACAAATAGGGAGGAATGCGCTGTCACATATCCACTAAGTAATGAAACAATCAGTCGCTGAGTGTACTTAAACTCCTCCCTGTTCAGCTTGTCTAGGTCTGAGGCGATGTATTTGCATACATAAACACGAAGAGTCGCGTCATCCCTCAGTGACTTATGATAAGGCAGTAACAAATGAAGGAAACTTTAAAAGAGAGATGGAAAAACAGGACAACAAAGAAGGGAATAAAATAGTTTTAAAAACTGGCATTAAATGTACCCATTATATCAACTATGTAAACAGATCCAAAATTTTCACATAAATTTCGTCTCTGTGTGGCTCTGACTCACGTACAGACAGATCTAAAATGATTAAACGATCGACAAATCTGTGGCCTCAGTACTGACAAGTTCCTACGTAAGCATTCTTCTGTCCTGGCAACAAATTTCTATTGACTGGATTCTGTAAGCTCGCCATCTTATACTTTAAAAGCAGATTAAAATGCTGATCCAGAAATGACATCATGAGTAACTTACTATAGTTATCCGAGGCGTATTCACTTGAAACTAGCAGCTGCTCGATGGACTGTGCTTACGTTATCAATTTCTTTGCAAATTATGTGTTTTTAACACGTGAAGCTAGCAGTAATTCCATCACGTCAAACTTAAACAATTTCGCGTAGCGGCTCCGATAACCTCATATAAATAATGTATCGCATTTTGCAAGTAGTCGGTTCGAATCTCTGCTGCCAGGTATTAGATATTCTCGTGGTTTTCGGGAGATTTCCACAAGACTATTAATGAGAAGCTAGCTGAAAAAAGTTCATCCTTCACAGTAAGAAAACGTACTGACATCGACTACCAAGAGATTTTTGCAGGTTATTCACAATCCTTCCAAGCATATTCGGGAGAGTTTCTTACACACCGGACCACCATTAACAGAATAATGAAACGGATAAGATATAAATAAGATTGAGATGGAGAACACAGATGGGTGGAAATCAAATTAATATGGCGGTCTTCTGGGTTGCCGCACCTGATTACACGGCGCTACAACCCAGAAGAAAGCCATCCTCATACTCGCCGCTGAGAAAATCTATAATCTCACAAAAGAAATTAGGATTGTGTTTCTATCAACGCACAGAAACTAGCTTCTGTGCCATGAATTCGGTATGAAACGGATAAATCTAAGGAGGAAATTGGAGATCCGACTCGCCTTTATTTACATCCAGATTTATTTTATAGTTGTCCTGTGAGATAAGCGAAATGCATGCTGGGACCACACCTTTTTCACCCACTGGCAGGAAGTTCGTATGCCTGCTGTATTATTGAAACAAGCAGAGTCCTTGTGTACGCGTATGTATCACCATAAACATGCACGCGAAACATGAAACATAAGTTTATTTAACAACGCTCGTTAGAATAGTGGGCAAGTAGCTAAGTCTGAGGGGAAAAGTCTGGGCATGTAACAAAACTACTTAGGGCGGTTACATTATGAAGTATATGAAAGGAAGAAGCAATGTAATGCCAGCATTTTGTGAAACGACCGAGGAAAATTACGACAAACGAAAGTCGGAACATCCAGTCTCTGGGTAAAATTACAACACCTGATTTTCCGAATAATAACAACTGGGGAATAAGCTGGAAAATCATTTCCAAGTGGCTGCCTGCCAAGAGGCTCATCTACAACAACTCTGTACGCAATTCTCGGCCAAGATAGATGTTAAGAGCTATGGTTGCCTAACTGGGTCGGTGTTTATGTAACGACGTTTCATCTAATAACGATTACAAACGATGAGCCGGAAAGAATTGTAAACGGCGTACCTCATAGTTGTGCCCCAGAATTTTCTTGCAGGATCCGGTAAATCGCGAAAGGCCTCACTAAGGACACCAAAGCTCCGGACGGGGTTCAAACCACAGACTACCGAACACAAGCAAGTTTCCGTAGGAACAGAGGTCTAGATATGTAGCATACTCGTGAGGTATCCAGTTCGAATCTCGGCCTTTATTTCAGCTTTTCGACTTTGATTTTCGTCGGTTTCCCCCAATCTTTCCAGGCTAATTATGGAACATATTAAAATAGGCCACGACCATCTCCTTATAATCCTTATCCTTTACCTACTCAAATATCTTACGATTCCATTCGAGGCTACACAACGAATGCAACTGACAAGCGTTGTTAAACAAACAAACGTTAATTAATCTCGTACAAGACATAATTTTGAACCACTACATCGCATCGTGGCTTTAGGTTGCGGCGTGTGCGTGGTGCTTTCGAGACACCCTGTGCAGACCGTCATCTTGCCAACACTCGCATGAAAGCAGCCAGTAACCAGAGACTCAAAAAGCAGTTTATGTCTAAAAAACTCAATAATTTATGCAGCATACAAAATATTCGAAGCTTAAAATCAACTGAACACTTAATGGTTTTCAGAAAGAGATAAAAACAAAAGAGTGGCGTAGTTAAGAAAACATATGCCGCTGAATTGACATGAACAAACAAAGCAGCATCACGCTCCGTTCCGATACGACGAAATTGCAAGACCCGTGCCAAATAGAACAAACAGAAAACCTCAAACAGAACTGACAGTGCAAATAGCCACACACACAAGAACAGATGTTTAAAGAGAGTGTATAGACTTAGAAGGAAAATAAACACCGACTTACCAGAGTCTGCTGCATGCTGCAGCTGAAGTTGGCCTTGGCTCAGGCTGAAGATGACTCCGTTCGGGAGGGCTGATGTGCGAGCAGCAGCGTATACCATCCCCTGGGACGTCTGGTACATCATACCGGAGTACGGGGGCGTCATCATACTCGCTGCACACACACACACACACACATTCGTGAGTTAACCGGTTGCAAAGGAAGCGGCCGTAACCAATTTTAAGGCACTATTACAACATTTCCACGAATATACTGGTGAAAACTACTAAAACAAAAAACTCTGTCAGGATAATCAGTCTCCGATGCGAGATTTGAATCCGGAACCTTCAGAACACGAAGAACAGCAAAACCATTTGACAGCGAGGTTCGGTTAACAGGTGGAATCCGGTCTCAGAGACATGAGAAACGACGCCACACAGCAAAGTGTCAAGCGACGTCACTGACTGAGCCCACATATCATTATCATCATCAATATTGTTCTCGTTGTTACTCCATCAACATCACCAGAATCAGTCAAGTTCTTCAGACAGCTTTGCCAATATCAAAGCACATTACGTCACGGGTATAACAATTCCCAATTTCCGGAAGTTCCCGTAAGAGTAGGCCAATGATTTTCTACAGTACTTCTCAGAAGGAGGCTGCAAGTATGTTCAGAGTTAAAAACTGCTTGGAACCACTCCTGGTAGGTACCATGTGCACAATGCACAGAGACCACGTCGTTTTTGGAAAGCTTTCGGCTACCCAAACGGTCAAACATTCGTTGTCTTTATGGATATCGAAAGTTCATTAATGTATTCGCAAACGTCCAATATTTTACTCTATCCTAAGCCACCTTAATTCAGTTCACACCCATACCCAGTTTCTCTGCTGTCTATTTTAATATTATCCCCCACCTATGCCTTATGTACCAAGCAATTTCTTCCCCTCAGAGTTCCCATTCTTTTTTTGCATGTTGTTACCATAAAATTTTATATTAAGTACGAATTATAAAGCCTTCGGTACGCAACCTCTTGTTACAATCTTAGAGGCTCACCTGGGATTGTGCGGAGATGAAAAAGACGGAATGTCAACGAGCACTGGTTTGAAGATTTTGCATTAACTGTTCAGACTCAAACAGGTTTTAATTTCAAAATCTTGCCTTTATCGTTTCAATTACAAGCAAGCGCGTTCCAACTTCAATTAATGCTAGCACATCTGTCGAAATGAAGAATAAATACGCCTGCATTTCTGTTGCCGATATCATAAAAGGTCTTCTGCGTTTCACCTTTATAATAGCAAAACCCTGTGGAATTCATTTCGGGAAGAAACTTCCTACGCGGACACAGCCAGTCACAGAGATATAGCTTCCGAAACGTGGGATTATTAAAAAAACCACGATGGACTATGTCTCAAAATAATGTCTATGATAAAGCATTTGTGGTTTGCAGACAACTGCAATCATGTGATATTTCTTATTCTCACGGCGGCGAGTATGAAAATGGTCGTCTTCTGGGTCTGAAGAAGGCAGCGAGGACCTCTGAAACGTCTATAAACTCCTACCAGACTACAAGGCGCAACCATCTTGACTGAAATCGTGACTCATAGGTGGACAACGTTTTTAGACATAAGAGTTAAAAGAATTCGCATGATGGCGGAGGTGCGTAAACAAGACTCCCATACTCGGGGGGCCTTTTCCGTTTTCAGTTCCCTATAAAGTGAGGCGAGAAAGGAAGGATTACAGATTAGGAAATGCTGAACAAAAAAGCGACTGGAGCCGGAGAAGCGCTCACCTGAGATCAGTTGCGGCTGTGTGGTGGGCGCCGTTTGCATCTCCGCCGAGGCCCGCGAATCGACTGTGGTGACCGGCTGTTGGGGCTGCTCGCTCGAACAGCCGCTGCTGTTACCTGCAGACGTGCAACACTGAGCGTTACATTCCTTCGGGTCTCCAGCTTCTTCCAAGCACACAGAGTTACAACAGAGCCGCGGGTGGAAAACTTCTACGAAACTTATCACTTGCAAAGAAAAGTGGGCATGTGAGGACAAAACCAATGTGAATGTGACGTAACACGGCCGTGGTGATGGAATGGTGCAGCATATGGACCGACAGGTTTCAAAATTATTCACTTACTCGTCTCATTAACTTAATTTCTATTACTTCGCTGAATATCTTCCTAATTTTTGTTATTCGTTAAAATCTTCTCGGGAGACCAGCGGTGTGAATTCAGAACAGGAGTCCGTAGAATGAAGTACCATCAATCCCAGCTGACGGGGACGCAAAGGGAATAGAAATATATCGCATGAACAATCGATCAAGGGCAGACCACAGAGGGTGAACCTCCTCCATGCTAAAAATTGCGAGCAGGACCAACAACCTTTCGCCATAAAATGAGTTACAAAATTGTACAAAAGCCTCTAGAAATTCGACAGTAGGAGACTATGATGGGCTGGGTAAGTAGAAAGAATGGCGAGACAAGGAATGAATACACTATTCTGGTATGAAACACTCTTGGAAAACTTCAACCTCCAAGACTGCGAATGAGGTGGGATGATTACATTAAGATAGTTTTAAGGAAGAAGATTATGAGGTTGGTTGATGGATGTCACTAACTCGGGATTATACGCAGTGGGAAATTTTGGTTGTAGCAGTATTAAACCATCGGGTTTACAAATATATTATTACCATGCATTTAGTTAACAGATTCAATCAAATAACAAATTTGTAGTCCAGATGCATAGCCCATAAATAAATTCGCACAAGATTTTGGAAATTTCTGGCAAAATTTACCGCACGGGAAACCAAGGAGGTACAAACAGCACAGTTAAATGTATCTTTGGAAAACAGGTTGAGGATACAAAGTGATACGAACTGCCTCATTATCATCGGTGTTGAATCCGCGGGACTACTGTACGAGAATTTTTATGAGTTACGTAATTAACTATATCCTTCGGAGCTGGCGGTGTTCATATTCGAACAAAGTAACATCGAAATACCAAACGCAAGGCAGACCTCTTGCAGGAACAGGATTTATGCGAGTGGCAAGGGACGTGCGGTTTACCAATTCCCTCCCCTTGGCATACATATGCCTACTGCAAGAAAGGGCATAGCCACTTTCACAATCCCAGATATGCGGTGTTTGCAGGAGAACAGCATATATGTCATTTGTGGGCGATTTAGAAGCCGTCATTACCAACAAACGGCACATTGCGAAATACTTCTTAAATGGCATTCTATACATGCATAACCCAAGGAGGCAACTGATAAACTAAATAACTAGCATGTGAGATCTGATCTTCTCGCGGAGGTGATGATGCCGATGTTGGTCTTCTGGGTTATAATGCCGAGTGGACTTGCAGACTGGTAGGTACCAACGTTTCGGAGGAGGAAATACTGCCTTCATCTTCTGGACTGAAATCAGTTCTGATGTTGGAAACAGCATTTTTCTTCGAAACACCAGCCTACCTACAGGTATATACGGTGTTCCAACCTAGAGGACCAACATCGACACAAGCAACTCCTTTGTACACCCAAAAGTCGTGTGAGCGCAGCAAATACAGTGACTAACTTGATGTGTAGGATGTGATTCCCGGTATGAGCGGGATTTTTCTTTTCACGCCTAGATCTGTGGCCCAGTCAGGCTTCTGTGGCATTTCTAGTGCAGGACTGATGCAACACAAAAACATATATGAGACACACTAACCAACCGATCAGACTGTCGGCCAACAAAGGATCAATTCATTATAACATCGTCTTCCCAGAGATAACTTACAAATGAACTCATTTGTACGGAACATCAGAAAGTTCCTCAGAGTCACAACAAAACCCCCCAATGGACCCTACTATAAAACAACCCATGTCCATATCCGAAGTTCCTAATCTGAATGCATAATCATTTCCGCCCTGAAGATGAAAGCAGTATTTTCCTTCGAAACGCTGGCATCTACCTACAAATAAACGTCGTAGTCCAGTGGTGAGCTCTACTGCTTCGTATTCGGGAGGTCCGGAGACCGGCTGGTGACAGGTTTTTTATGGTGTTCCTCAGTCCCTCCAGGCAAATACCAGGATAGCAACTCTCATTAGGCCACGACCACTTCCTTTCGAATCCCTTCCAATTCATTACTCGTTCTCATCCTCTCATCCAACGCTATACAGTCCAGATACTGAAAGCGTCGTTAAATAAACAAACATTAAACATCTACCTACAAGTCTACATGGCGTTCCAACCCCCAGAAGACCAAGATCGACGAAACAAATTCATTTTTAGGTTCCTGGTCCCACTCCTCAAACTCCGCCCTTTCCCGTCCACGACTGCTCAATCCACATATTCGCATGATTGTTCAAGGAACGACATCCGACAATGCACACACAATTTTAGGATGGGCCACGGCACGGATGTCATCTGTCGTCTTCCCCTTTTCCATCTATGGTAGCCAGAGCGCATGCCATCTGTGACACGCGTCAGCACTTTGGACGACGCCGACACATTTAAAACCATCGTCACACACTCATGCTCGAGGAAAGTAACTCTGAACACACAGCCCGAAGGTTCAACACTGCCGGAACCAAATTTCGTCACTGGACACGGTCTTAGGCCCGTTCAACCAAATTCCTCAAAATCCATTTAAAGGCCATCGCCTACTGCCTGCCCTCATACAAAGCTTCCAAAAGCGCTCAACTAACAGATTCATCCTGAAGATGGCAACTGTAATGTTTGCCGAAACGCTAGATACCTTTCAGGATTTGACGCGGCTCATCCCTGGTAGCCGAAGTTTTACAATATCTTTCTTCCACGTCACTCTTCAAGTAATGACCAACCAAAATACTTTGCTATCTGTTTCACCTGCATATATGAAAGTATATGTTGCAAAAAAAAGAATAAATAGAATTACTTTAAATTATGAATTAAGTATACGTAAGAAAGCAGTTGTAACATATTTTAATGTATTGTCCAATCTATTGATAGCTGGTCACGGGGTCAGGTTCAGTTCCTTCTGATATAAAAAATACATATCTAACTAACTAATTAACTAGTTGGCTTAGGGAACGCAAAGGTTCATGACCGAATTAACCAAAGCCCTCCACCGGTCTCTGCCCTGGACCAAATCTAAAAAAATACATATCCCCTCCAAAATAGTGGTCAGATCAGATAAAAAGCCAAAGTTTCTTGTATGGTATTTATTCCTTGATTATTTGAAAGCAGATGCGGCGCTGAGGCCATTACATGAAACCAGAGTTCATGACAGATGACCTCTAATACAGGAATATGAACTCCGCTCGCTTATGAACGTCCTTTGTTATGTTATGGCGGTAGTAATAACGAATTTGGATACCTATCACATGTCAAAGATAACTGCAAATCACTGAAACGTAAAACTGATACATGTGTACATAAAAAATAGGTAAAATATCAGTGTAATAAAAAACATTCATAACACCAAAAGTTGCACGCGCGTGTTACAGGAAGAAAAAATGTACACAACAGAAAACAGCACACTCCGAATGACCTATATAACCTGTATTAATAATAACGATAAACTTAAAGTGGGAAGGTCTTAGAAAAAAAGGTTTAAAAATAAATGCGTAATGAAAAACCTCAAGCGACAATATCCAGTTCAAGGAGCCTTCCAATTAATTACGCCACAAACAGATACGTTCGCGTGGAAGCTTCTAAAGACCTACATTACTATTGAAGGTAAAACAACAGTTAACAGAAGTCGGATAACAGAATTAGCACCGCTCCTTAACGGAATTAAAAATGCGTAAGTGTTAAAATTGCAATAACAATAATATATATATTCAAATTTTGAAGGTGGAGTCATGGCGGTGCAACCATTCCATCAACCTCAGTAATGCCAAGATTTGAATTCAGGATTTGGTTCTGGAACTTTAATGTGCTAAGAGTCGCAAACAACCAACCGGTGTAATTGAGTGGGTTACAGCCATTAACCAAACGAGCAATAAAACACTCAAAGACATGCGGCCCCTAACAATAAACTATCACTCTCTCTTGCCTCGAAGCATTGTTCTGCTGAAATGTGACAACTCATACAGAAAAAAGCACGCGACAAACTGTTAGCTTACCTCATTCGTTTCTTGAACGTTGAACTCTTACCGGTGCTTTTAAATCTGCGATTCCCAAACCGTTGAGAGCAAGGTCGGCATTGGAAAAGTAAAGAAAAAGCTATAGTGTTTCAAAATGCACCAACTACCATCAGTTCTTACGACATACCGCAGAAATACAACAGTCGCATTTAATCGGCTTTAATATTAAAAATCATCGTAAAAAGAATTCAATGAATAGCTTTATAAACACGTCGGCTGTCAAATTCGCATCGAAATTGTAACTTGTAATAAATTAATGCAATTTCGAGTTTAAAATCTATGAGAAAACAAACACGTAAAGCGTTTCTCTTAAAAACTAATGTCCGCATTAGCCAGTCAATTAATCGGCTAGCCCCAAAAACGCCCTGCTTTTACATAGGAAGGCGTATCACCGTGTTCACGAATCTTCGTATAGTCTATCCTCAAGAAGATCAATCCACATCTGTATAACCTTCTTTCAGAGTAGATGCCAAGTATCACAACGGCACAGCATCACAATACATACAACGTTAACTGCATCAAAAATTGTTTTACTGCTCTAAGCTCCACAGTATGTAGAATCAAAAAGACACGCGGGAAAATTACATAAGTGAATCTGATCTCATCATATTAACAAGTACTCAAAAATGAATCATGAAGTCATTAGATCATCAGCAAATGTGGAAACTCTGACAACCAAGGGCACATTTCCTGTTTTGACAGGTTTTCCTTCTCAGAAGTTGCACGTCGTATGATTTGAGGTTTTCACAGCGGTGAGTATGAAGATTTCTGTCTTCTGGGTTGTTGCGCTGGGTAGTCTGGTAGATGAATCGCCCTGATGACGGAGGCAGTATGACCTCCGAAACGTTGGTAAACATCTACCAGACTACACAGCGCAACAACCCAGAAGACAGAAATCTCCAAGTTACACGTAACAAAAATGGTTTTAAGAGCATTTTCTCACTTGCAACTTGCACAAACACACAACATCTCTTGAGGGGGGGGGGCACAAATCGATGTGCCCTTATTTAATAAAGGGGGCCAACTCTCAATGGGTCCGCCTACCTCTCGGGTCAGGTGTTCCAACAGCCTCGTGGTCCGGAGTCGGGGACTCGTTGCCGCTGGAATCGCCTCCAGTCTCCCCACCGCCATTCTCTGAGCGAGGGGACATGCCCTCTTCCTACAAACACAACAGCACCAAGTTTGTCAAAACAAGTTGATAGGACTGTAAATTCAAGAAAGCTGTAAAGTAAACGTAGCTGTGGCCAATTATAGAAGAGAATGAGGTGATCTGCACATACAACCTTCCTGCCTGACCCCATCAGCCAATCACTCAACCAATCACTGCCCCTTAGCAACAAGTACTGTAAACCGTGGGGCTCATTTCCCCTGGAGACTCGCAGAACAAAGAAAACAAAGGGAAAGAACATGCACTTGAACACTCCGCAATCATTAAATTAAACGCCAAGCTGTAGTGCGGCCGGACACTAGAACAGAAATTGTAAATAGTGGCCGGACCTCAAATAACAACCGAGAGCTTGTAGAGAATCTTTGAGTGGTAGAAACATGGAAGACGTTGATGACTCTTCATCTTACGATTCTGATGGTATAATATTTGCCAGGATAATAATAAAAGTTTTCATCTTGTGTCCTTCAAGTATTATCATCATAATATATATCCTACATTAGAAATATTATTATCATCATCACCATCACAGTTATTACTACTATTATCTAAATAATAATAAAATAGAACACAACCAAATCTAAATCAGCCAGCTTCATCCACCCGCCATCCTCGCAAATTAATTTCCTAACAAATATTATTATATTATTATCATCATAAGTTACGCAATTGAACGTATAATTATTATTGTAATTAGAGCTACAATTATGATTATTAACATTGCCATTAATCATGACTGCGGGAAGGAATAGTGCACGGTTCGGAAACAGACGCAATAACCAGCACCAGGTGGGAGTGGTTTTGTGCTGAACCACAAAGCGAGGAGTCTCGCGCCTCGCAAGAAACACACACACGCTCATGCACGGCGAAGATACCGATGAACACGCACATCTCATAAAAATATCTTCCTGCAATTTGAACGCGGGGAAAATATGTTTGTTGCTCTTAAATTCCAATGACCAGTGGCTCGAAAATACACTTAGAGCAAGAAGTTGATGGGCAGCATTGGCACGGAAGAAAGAAATGCATATGAAACATCAGCTGTAAAACAACGGAAACCTAGAATACAACAAACACCAATTTGCACATTGTGAGGACTGTAAACCGTATCCCTAGGAATCTTGCCTGAACCTCTTAGGTCTTCCTGTAATGGCCAACACACCTGCTTTACATTCCGAACGCAGTGGCATCAGATTCAGGCCCAGAGATCGGACATTGAGTTGTCTTACGAGGTTGTCCTCAGCGTCTCCATATTTCTATTTAGAGCTTACTGCTTCCATCATCAGAGTGATGATGGAAACAGGAAACTCATCTGAAATGTCGGTCAATATCTACCAGACTACACAGCGCATCAGAAGACAGCCATCTTTAATTAGGCTTAGTCGTGAATTAATACTGAAGTCGCTTAAACGCCACAACGTAGAGAGTGCGTGAAGTTTCAAATCCATGCATTCTGGACCCCGACAAATGATGGAGGTTAGTGGCCCCAGAGAAAGCAAAATTCGCAGGGGCATTGCCCGGGAATCGAAACTAGGCAGTCCAATACGTGAGTCGCAGATCACTGCGCCGTCATAGCTTGAACTTCCTCAATGCAAGTGCACTGTTTTGTTGGCCTGTACACAGAGAACAGTAAAACACTAGTCATCAATTTTATGAAATAATGGTGTGTCGTAAGGTTACAAAACGCGGTCGTTAACGAAAGGAAACATTAAAAATACTTAAAGTAAGTCCAAATGGCCCACTATGTTTACAACCTTGAACATATTTTTCTAAAAAAAATATCCATAAATGCGTAAAAGGCGAGTGAACTTCCTACATTTTTCACGATCCTGACACAGAAAGGAATGCACACTTGTCTTATAATCGTGACAGGAACTGCAATGACCCATTTCCTAAAACAATTCTGCCTTCGTGTGACATTTTTGTTACCTCACGCACGTGTCACAAGAGAAATGGCCAGGAATTCTCACTTCCTTTTAGAAGTCCAATATACGTTCACAGTAAATTTTTCACTGGCCGCGGGAGTTTGTGAGGGGAAAAGTGGTATTCCTTCCTCTGTCTCATTCTGGGCTGCAGCACTGATAAACATGGATCGCTTGTTAAAAACCGTGATAGACTCATAAACATCGGGAAGAAGAATATCGAAATGGACTAAAGAATTTCGTATGCAGATTTAAGATTACCCACCAACAGCACGGACATTAGATTTATTTTTCAGCAGCTCATATCCCCAATTAGGGCATTAAGTTCAATGAACTGGCCTTGCCTTCTTTTTTGGGTCAATTTGTTTCAGCCTCTTTTCTGCACAGTATAAATATCACGGTGCTACGCCCTTTAATACTTGCAGCTTAATCTGGCTTGGGGTTCAGACAGTATTTCTGAGAATAAAAGAGTTACTGGCTTAGACTTTTGCCTCCCATATTACAGATTTACAAACATGACAGACATAATACTAAGACACGGGCGGAGTCCTAGAACTTGGCGCTTTTCAACATGCCACCCGCATTCAATTTTAAAATACTGAGAGACCAAACCTCTTCGCAACACGCCCTTAACTGCAACCAGTCTGACCAAACCATCGTTTAAATCTCAAGAGATGCGCTGAATTTTCCCTTCATGTCCGCAGCGTCTCCGGCGGTCCGCCCAGTTCCGACGGCAGTGAAACTGGCCGTTTACTTCGGTCTGTTTTCGAGTCAGAGTATTTATCGTCAAGACCCATACCATGATACCATGGCGAGGAGCTTGGACATAGGTACAACTCCCCAAAATTATCCTTCCACTTCTACGGGTCGTGAGTTGTGATCTAATACACAAGACGACCCCCAAAATTATCCTTCCATTTCTACGGGTAGTGAGTTGTGATCTAATACACAAGACGAGATGTTACATTGAAATATGACATATGCATTGCCCTCCTCATTCGCAATTCATGTTATCTCGTGCAGCCTACAGGCTTGCAGATAAGAGAGTCGAAAATAAACTTTGAAACAAGATATTATGTCGTCATTTAGGTCACAGTTCACCAAGTATCGACGTTAAATAGTTAAAATATTTGATACAATATCAGACAAGCGTAAGTTGCAAGGAAATAATTCGGCCAACTTAATTAAAGAATTCGCTCACGCGGTGAAGTTCGTTGACTCGGCTTATACGCGGAAGTTCAGAATAAGAACTGATTTCAGAATTTCCTGTCGGTTCACCACGACTTCCGTAAGCAAATTTTCCACAACAAGGGACATAAAGACAAACAGACGGACAAACCTACTAACCAGACCAAACTTATATGGTCGCGGGTATATGACACTTGAATCCACCCCAAACTTCCTAACTGTGTTTATGTGGACTCCATTCTAATATTATCCTTCTATCTATGCCTTGATGTCACGAGTGGTCCACCTCCAACTCTTCTGAGGGTGGGTGTCCGGAAGACAGTGTTAAATGTAACCTATATGAAATGAGCGCAGACACACAAAATACCAGACCTTCAGGTTTCATAGGAGGATCGATGGTCTCCTTCAAGTCCGACAAAGATCGTGGCCCCACCGCCGCGTAAACTGATAATGAAACACAGGCGTGTCACGCACAACAGGGTTGGCTATTGTTTCATTCGAGAGGCCAGATTAAAATATACAAAAAAACAGTTTGCTACGTTTAACGTACGCCGTCTTTTAATTGCTTTCATGGAGACTACAGAAAGCTGAAATGATTCACATTCTCAGAATGAGTCTTAGTGAGAAGTTACATGACCTACTCCGTCAAAGTGCACAAAGAATCCCAGCAGACAATTCCTTGGGACTGAAGCTACACCAAGAAATTCGTCCGACAGGCTCTAGAAGACTGGGCGTGTGAATAATTCTGCAGGCGTAGATATGACATATTTTGGAACAAACTCAAAGTCAATGACTTCAGAAAAGCTTCTCAGATAACTTAGAATCCTATATTATGAACACATTTCGTAATTCTAAAGTGACTATCTGAATGGAACAAACCCCCATCTTAACAGCTGACATACGCTCAGCTGGTTACCAAATCCCCCACCCTTCAACAAACCAGACGATTTACTGTCGTGTTCACAAAAACCCACTACTCGAGTCTATCCTGAGCCTGATAAAACCAGTTCACATCCCAGCATTCCATTTCTTTAATATATATTAATAGTACCCTCACAAACACAGATTTACAGTAACACCAGAGTGGATTTTCAGTACTAATAATGTTAATTCCGTAAATCGGTGATCAGGAAGAAAATGCTATGTGTGGTCAGTAGCAGGATTATAAAATCAACCTGCGAAAACTATTCGACAGATAAAAGAATCGCCCGCCCGCTTACGTCTAATTATGAGCTGTCAGCATAACGGGATCCACCGCAGGGAATGTTTTAAGACGACAAGTGCGCCTAATTCACGCTAATTGAACACAGCCCATTTATAGACAAATATATATTTGCTTTAGTCTTTCAAAGCACAGTGGTAACTACATGCAACGCCTGCTTAAATATTCAATAACCCTGAATTTTTGTACGGTTATGATGTTTTGAATGATTCTCAATATGCAGCAACGCGCAAATGATCTTTGTAACAGAGACGAAGTGTTTTCTCCCCTTCCCCTCTCTAATTACTTCACCAGCAAATTTTAAAACTTAGCCTCGTAAAATTCACTACCTTAACAACAGGCCTGACAGGTAGTCTATATATCGAAGCTCGAATTTCCCACTTACTTAATCCTCCCTAGATTAGAATAATTTCCTAAGAACTTTATTTTCAAATACTTCTAATGTCTGTTCTTCTTCACATTTCACCGCTATAAAATAAGTAGTAATGTAATTAATAAAGCCGCTATTTCTAGCCTTTAAGCCCGGTCTACACGTAACGTCTTATCGTACGTTTTGTTTGATCAGTTAAGACGTATCAGTCAAAATGTTACGTATGGACAGAGAAACGGACGTTTTGCCTGAACTGAATGAAGACGGACGTCTCTCAGAAAATGGATCGGTTTTCCGGTAAAACGTCAGTCTTTGTAGCTTCTACCTGTCGCTAGAAATCTTAGAGTAGCAGTCAGTCTCTCATGGGTGTGATAGCCCTTCTCATGGTAGTGTCCTTTTTTGTATTTCTGGAGTTACTAACGATAGTAATTTCAAATAAGTGTCCGTATCCATTCGTAAATAATTACGCCAATCTCCAGGTTCATGACGTAATTCCCGAAGCAAACTCACATGAGAGAATCTGCCCCTCTTTAGCAACCATCGTCTAGACCACCGTGAGCTGATGAAACTAAACGTACGATAAGACGTTACGTGTAGACCGGGCTTTAAACTGATCAGAACAGCAATTCGAAATATAATATTTAATAGAAGTAAATTAAATAATTCGAACTGAAACAAAGGGACGGAAATAATCTCTGCGCGTTAAGAATCCACTAGTTCGAAATTAAAGAACTCGCAAACTGAAATTAAAAACTAGTGGGCGGCGCTAAAGAGACGACCGTCAGGTGAGACTTAGTTCTGGCGAGCTGACACAGAAGGCTCGCCATATTAGGCGATATAGACCAGTCCCGATCTTGTTATTTTGTTCGGCGCTTCGTACAAACGCAGTGCAGCTATTTATCCCTTCGTCATCAGAATTACATAACGTTATCGGATCTTCAGACATAATAAAAACGGCAAATATCAATAAGACGTTATTGACATAGGATCTGCTACTGCTTTTGTCATAATAATGTCAAAGCAAACACGAATAAAAAGGCGTATTTTACCGACATGATTATTTGAATGTTCGACACATGAAAAGACAACTAATGAACACGGCGAATGCTGTACCACACCTTCGCCCATCCCTTCTTGATACTGGTCTCGAAAAGTTGTTTCTTCCTATTTTGTTGACCGACACAATTAGTAGCACCTTCCTTAGGCTACTTCATCTACTGCACTTGGGCTCCCCGCTCAGACGGGGGGGGGGTATTTCTCGGCAGAATTGCCAAAGGCCGCAGAATTTCATAATTTCCCTTTCTTTTTAAAATCCTGAATAATGCCACATGAATGTGAATAGCTAGGCACGTGGAGTACAGCGTCACACATTCTACGGGGAGATGGGAGTCGGTCAGCTTCACGCGCCGGCCGCTTTGTCCCTGGTACTTACTGTATAAGAGGCTTTGTAGACCTGAACAGGTCTGAGGCTAGCTTAACCAAGGGGCCAACTAACTGCTGGCTTTCATTTCTCTTACTCTGTATAAGCGTAAAGGTGGTAGCTGAATCCAGCTTCCAAAACGTTGTGGTTTTTAGACGATGGACAAAACACAAAAGATCAGAAGATTGATGTCTTCTGGGCTGTTGCATCGTGTAGTCTGGTAGAAGTTTACCGACGTTTCGGAGGCCCTTGCTGCCTCCATCATCAGGGCGATGAATCTCGGTAAACTTCTAGCAACAGCCCAGAAGACAGAAATCTTCAGACTCACCGTCGTGAAAACCTCAAATCCTACAAAAGAACAATTATACATATTAACGTAACATCGGCAGAAACGGTCAGGCTTGGAAATTAATGTGAAATTTCAAGCCACTTCACGCGAAACGGCAGGTTGACACATAGGCCCAGTTCAATATCCCACGACACACCACATAATGTAGGCCCCGCTGTTGTGAAATTATTTTTGCGAGCTCAGAAATGCAAACTACTTGTATCAGCTACTCATACGTAGTCCTATTGTTTGTTGTAATATGCATTAAGGCCCATACGACATTTCAACAGACGAGGAACTAAATTATGACAATGACGTTAAATAAAAAAGTTCAGAGACAGCAAGAATTTAACAAAGAGCAGTAAGCACAGGTCGATGTAATGGCAAAACCGGGCTGAGCAAGATTTCACTGCTACGAAGTTCCTCTGCGAAGTGTTGTGTTGTGCAGATAAAAACTCGTTTCAGCTCAAAATATTGTCGTACGCCAGCCAATGAAATAGTCTTACAACGAAAAAATGACGCGAATAAGCCGAAATATGTTAGCCTTATCACATATCATTTAAGGACTCTGGATCTGCCGCACATGTTACAAAGGTTCAAATGAGATTGAGAATGAAGTGGTGATGAACTTCAAGATTCTGTACCAGCACTCGTGTGACAGGTCTGTGGAAAAACAAGGGGGGAAACAACAGTTTTGCCGTGGCCGAAATCTGAAACCAGTACTTCCGAATATGAGACAGGAAATATCTTTGCGACGGAGGATGTAGGCGGTAGTGACCGGGAGAATTTTTCCAAACCCAAGCACCTGTCTACAGTTTACTATACACTTCTCTTGTATACGCGACACAAATCAATCACGTTCACAATTTCGGATTTCTCTACGGCACAGAAATTAAACGCCTACGAAGTTCCCATTTACATGTTAAAGAAGGAGCGAGGAGACGTATAAATTCAACCAGTCGTCTGACCAGTACCTCAATCTGACAGATTGTAGCAGTTCAAAACAGCCAACTCCGCAATCGAATAATATTAAATTCTAGGACAGATAGCAGTGATAACTTGTAAAAAGCTACATTTTCCTCCTCTTTCCCATCATTCAGATCGACTTCTCGAGATTACGTCGCACTGCCAAAGTATCTCAGAGCAGAATACAAATTTCTTCGGCCAGATGCTCGCGAAAGGAGGAGTGGTCTGCCCGCTCCTCTTCGGCAACATAGTAGAAATACCTCGACCATCGCAAGCCGTCGCGTCGTAGTAAACTACGAGGCAGGCTTCCTTCAACAGTTGATGGTCCCGCTGCCGGCAGAGAATTCTCTGTTTTTACGGAAAGCAAATATTCGTCACTAAAGCCACAAAAAGAACAGTTTCTAAGCGAGTTAAATCCAGCTTACAATGTAACTTCTGTAAGATATGTCTTATCTGTTATTGTTTCGTGTAAAAAGCCTAAATAGTTCGGCCAGTAAAAAGACTGACTACGGATTGGACGACCGGCCAATTTCTACCTTACTACAAGGCACAATATCACATAAGACAGTCGTCTTGCTCGCCACCGTTAGAACCTGAAATCGATTTAATCTTTATACGTGTCCTGCCTCCCAAATGGTGTCTTCAGAGGAGTCTTTTCCCGCCAAAATTTGTATGCATACCATATCTCCTACATGACCCTCCCAAAATCTAACTTTTAATCATCCTACCAATATTTGGGGAACAAAATTCTAAGGTCATCATACAATTTTCTCTGTTCCTCTGTTAGTTCCTTCGTACTCTCTTGTGCCTAACACTTGTCTTCTCAAACACCTTTAAAATACATGACTGTACAAACGTAATGACACATTGACCATCTCAGGCTGCAAAACAGTACCAACGAGGAAGGCGGCAATTTTAAAAACTGGAGTAAAAAAAGTATGAATGTGTTTGTAAAGTTATTTTAAGGTCATATATGGAAAGCTGTTAAATTAGCAAACATATTCTCGTGTATTTTAATTTTAAGTGTGCCAAGACTTTTGTACCACTCTGTATAACAATGGCAGACCTAATTTCATGCCTACATAAAATTAAACGAGGGGATGCTGCACGCACAAAGGAAATGACAAAATGCAACATTTTATCGGGAAACCTCAAGCAAATAAACAATTTGTGATTTATGGGCGAGATATGACAAAACTAATCTCAACACAGAAGCAAGACTCAAGGGCCCATTGGTGACATCCAGTGATCACGGCGATGAATACTATTCGGATTTCTAAAAGAAAGAATTTCTTTTCCGAGAGAGTGTCAATTTTTTATTCACTCGGCATCGAACAGAGTCTTGGGTTCAGTGACATGCTGTGGAACTCAATTGCAATTTATCGGAAGAACTGGCGACTGCTGTTCAACGTGGTCAGCCCGCCGCCTTCGGCCAAGGCTGTCGCTACTGATCTCAGTACACACACTTCCTATCAAGCCAAGCCATAAAAGGAAGTCGTCTTAAGAGCGGCGCAGTGGTTAGCCTGCGTACGCTTCCCCTTTTAAGGCAGCTCTTCAAGCGGCCCTGCCCAAACCGGGAAGGAAACGAGCTAGCGTCTCTCTCTCTCTCACACACTCGCTCGGTGACTCACACGAGTCAGTCAGAAAGTTCCACACACACACACATGGTCAGTTCGTACTCCGACGGCGGTAAAGTCACCAAGACTGCAAGTCGCGGGAAGACGGCGCGCGTGCTGCTGATGGCCGTCCGGTGTTATTGTTATTACTCCTACACAAGAGCAAGGTGGTAGGGGAACACTGCAGAAGAGGGTGACACTTGCCCGACCAGAGAACAAGTTTCAGTACGAGAGTGGACAAGCAGGCGGCTGGATCTTGAGACGAAGCTTGGCTGTAAGTACAAATTAACTTTCTCTATACTGTTATTTCGAAAGAAAACTTATTTTGTTGGTGTCAACATCAACTTTTCCCAAGTGAAAAACCATACGCAGTTCGTACTAGCAACAGGTGGCATGAAAAGCTTACTTTCCTTGATAGTACCATACATCAAAGACATTCTGAGCATAAAGTATAATTTCTAATCAATATATATAGTACCGAACAGATTAGAAGATTTTCTTTAAGATATCTAAACTCATTAACATGGTGATCGGCATAATCTGTTTCCGAGTAAATAACACAGCGTAATTATAATGCTTCCCCTTTCTGCACAATCAAATTATCATTATCCAGCCGCTACACCAAGGCAAAATCACAATGCACCCTACAACCCGGATGATTTATGGCGCTGGCGACAGTATTAAGATTTGAAAATTCCCTACATGGACCTCCTCGTTAACTCCCGCGTTTTTGCATCGTAATAAACAGAACGATGACAACTCAACAGGAGCGAGTTCAAAACCGGTGGTTGGCACCAGCCACGTCCGCCGAGCAAATTCTGTTTGATCAAGACAGTGACAAACGTGACGCTTGGTGACGAACGGCGTCGACAGGGAGGCATTTACAGCAATTCCAAAACAAAAATTAACGACTCGATTTCGTGCACCGCCTTCAGCTCGACTAGTAACAAGGCGACGGACAGCATGCATTTACAGAATTTACATACTCATCCCAGGTTCATTTTGTGGCGACTGGTTCTGTGAAGATCGCCATCATGAATGCAGGGTGATTGGTGTGACATTATATTTCTTAGACAACCAATCGCTTCCAAGTTTGCTGACTTCTGCATGCATACCTATCCTCTCAACAGGACTGGTTCAACATGCCTTGGAATCTCATTTCAAATTTAAACAAAGGGAAAGAAAATTTATAATCGCATCTGTAACTCAAATTCGTTTTCTTGTTTTAATAATAGTCCAGGTTTCTTTGCTATTAAGCTGTCAGCAAGTATCTGTAATTCCACAAACATCATTAGTGCCATGTGTTTCGTTCAAGGTGTGACGATACTTTCTGACTCTTCTATACGTTCAACAACCCCAAAAGAATTACGTTGGATGGCGGCGGCAGAGGAAACACAAGCGCCCACAACAGATGAGCGACAAAATCGACACACGACGATCAGGAAGGAAACGCAGGTGCCTGCAATCCGGCCAAAACGACTACTTCAGCAATGACATACGCGTTGGGTAAGTCACGGACAATTAAAAGTGTTCCAATCTCTCAGAATATGGGTAAAATATAAACAGGTGTTAAGGGAGACTATCAGAGGGGAGGGAGGGGAGGGGGAGAGACAGTAATTGGTCCCTCTCTCCTGCCCACCCCCGCCGGCTATGGGGCCGTGCTGTTATGGCCGACACACTAACAGAAATAAAACAAGAAAAAAGCCCATAAAAGCTGACTTGCTGCTAAGAGCTGGAAATGGAAGGGGGAATGAAGAGGGGGGTACAGAGGTGATTCATACTAAGCAGAAGAGGATGTGAGGGGAGGGGGAGGATTATAAGAGAATACATAATTATCTGTGGTAAGGTAATGGGTTACATAACGGGGTGAGCGTTACAGTGAGGAAGTAAGAGATGTAAGTGTGGCTAAATGAAGATTGATCGGTAGAGAAAGAACTATAAAAGCCAGTAATAACCCCCATGCACTCTGCACGGCGATGCGCTCAACTCAATGTGTCTCTGCGAGGTACGGCTATTTTTACACGAATTCAGTTTAAGAAGCAATTGATGATAGAGTTGTGAGCCTTCACGACGCAAAATGTTTTTCATTTGTCATATAAAACTGATACGGCAGTGAAATGAAAGCTGTTCAAGATGGAGCGGTTATGTGGCTCGGGCGGAGGATATAAGAAACTATGCAGAATTTTTATGAGGAAACTTTCAAGATCGGGTATTTGACCGACAAAGAGACGGGGGACAAAACGTGCGGCCGGACAATAAAAATCAATGATAATTTCCTTTAAATTATTACATTTAACAAAATTTACCTTTCGACGTTAGGTCGTCGTAGGAAAACCTAGTTAAGTCATAAAACACCTCCCTTACCATTCAGCCTACATTCCGGTCAACAGGAAATGGTAAAACCACTAATGTTCGGGTTTGCATTGCGTCAATAAATGTAGAGACCGCGAAGGTCTTCGCATTCATTTGCTTTTGCAACCAATCGTAAAGTTGAATACCACTTGAAAGTCTTCTCTTTAACTATGTATTTCCCAGCTGGCTAACTTACGTCTTTACTATAGAACACATATCTTCCAATTTATTTATTTTATAAGGAAACATGGTTTCATTATTATATCCGCCTGTTTGTGTCGGTTCATCCTCCATTCATAACTTTTGGCGTGGTTCGGTCCAGGGGGCCACGTTGAATTTTAGATCCCATCACAGGTCACACCTGAGGTCATTACATGCCAACTAACCACAGCGAAACGATGTTCATAAAGCTTCATGCCAAAGTTCGTACACCTAAATCCTATGTCATCGATAAAACAATACAACAGCAATGCAAACCTTCACACAAAGCCTAAAGAAGGGCCTTGCAGTTTCCATGGAGACAGACTTTCGAAAAACCGGCTGGTTTCGTTCGGTCGGGTCACTTTATTGTAAAGTAATTGAAAATTACGCGGTGTGTGAGGGCGATTCGACGACTGCTGCTATCTTGAAGTCAGTGTTTTCCTCATACTCTCCAGGAGAATGTCGGGACAGCCCCTTCAAATAGGCCACAACTGTATTCATCTCCGTATCTCATTCATTGCTACGTAACCCATGTGCTTGGAACAGTTAAATATTACAGGGATTCTTTTGCTAGCGCGCACTAGTGCGGGCGCTCCCGGCAAGTCCGACCGACACACCGCATAATTCGTTTCACGGCTGCGCTATCTAGAAAACACACATGTACAGATCTAATCTAAGGGCCAGTCAGTAGTGCCACTGACTCTGGCAGATTGATTGATCATTCTTTATTTAATGACGCTATGGTATGAATCAATCGTGTAGAGTTTTCTTCTTTCTACATGCCTGTCTGTATCTGCATGTCAATTGTGTTTATGTCTCAGAGCAGAATTTAAAAAATATTTCCTTTCCGGGCGCATCGCCTAACAAAAATAAAAGCTCATTAATTTCCCAGTGTTTCTCCATTTTACTGTACACGCGCTGGAGGGATCAATGTTTATTTTTATTTATTTTTTGCTAATTGTGATGCTGCGATTTAATAAAATTCGAGATTTACGAACTGCTAAGTCGTACCGTTCGAATAAAAACTGGTAAATATACGTAAGTATCGTATTTCCGTGCGGCTTAACTCCCACTGAATTAATTAAATGCATAAACCATTTAGTACACATTGAAAGTTAGACACGATCCGGGAATCCAATTTTATTAATCTTGATTCTTGCCGAACTAGAAGTAGCATAACACACAGGATGCTCCCAATCAGAACTTACACAATCCGACATATTCATATGCATCACTGCGCCATCTGTTATCGAAATTATGAACTAAATAAACTAATTAAGCCTATATATGACAATAAATAAATAACTAATCACAAACACAGTGATGACGTACAAAATTATTAATTAAACTGGACACGACATGTAGACAATGCAGTGTACAGAGACAAGGAAAACGGAAAATAGGACGACCTGCGAGTAGACGGAACAACCAATCCAACTTCAAGCCGGAAGTGTGAGGAGTCGGAAATACGAGCAGTGGCCCATTTTAATACCACCAATATAATACATCATTCTATTCTGTGGCATTTCTGGTTCTCACGGCGGCGAGTATGAAGATGACTGTCTTCTGGGATGTACCAAATTTGTACAAACTGATAAACGTTTCAGAGATATTTAGTGTCTCCATCATCAGGACGATTATTCACATCTGAAACGTCGATCAATTTCTGCAATACTACACAGCGCAACAACGCAGAACACTAATTTTTGCTGTACAGTTCTGGGAAAGTACTTTAAAACCGTCATCTATCACATTCCAGTGCCTTCCCGTCAAATTCCGATATGCGACCTGCGTTGTTACAAAAAGAAACTACATCATAGCAATTTGTAATCAACCATATAAGATCATAAAAGTACTTCCGCCCTGATATACGGGGGCCGTTAAAACTGTACGACCTAAATTCATATTCAATGCCTCAACAACTGTTCGTATAATTCTCCAACAAAAATTTGTAACCGAAATCGGTTAATCCATTCTGGAGTTAAATATGATTTTTAACAGGCATAATATTGCTAAATTCGAATGAACCCTGTTTCAATCAATATAGGAAATTACACCATGTGCTACCATGTAACCTTTACATCGGTTTGTAAAAAACACAGAAAACTAGCTCAGCGCGTCGTTTCGTCCGAGTGTGAAACTTGGTCTGTCACTACGAGGAAGGAACGTCTGAGAAGAGGGTGCTGAAGAGGATGTTTGGACGAAGGAAGAAGGAATGTAGCACGCAGAGGAGAGATAAATGTGTACGAAGTTTTGATCGGAAAACCTGAACGGAAGAGACCACTTCGAAGACGTAAATGGGAGGACAATTTATTAATCTCTATGCTCATCCCGAGAACACAAAGTAATATTTTTGGTCTACAATATCATTTCAGCCATCTAAATGCAGTGACCGCTGTGATATGTTGTCCTTAAAAAAAACCTTACCTAATACACGTTCAGTTTGTCTCATCGATTCTTTTTGTTGTATTTAATAACGCAAAAAATGCTTGGGGTATGCAAACGATGCAGAACAGAATTCCTGAATGAATTTGAAAGAATGCGGCTAGAAGCGACCCTGGCCTAATGCAAGATTTTATTGGCGCAAGTCAGGTCCGAACTGGACACCAGGGCTAGAAGAAAACAAAGATGCTGGGATGCGACGAGAGAGAATTGGAGATAAGGAGGGCAGACAAGCGAAGTGGGGAGGAGAGGAGATCTATAAAGCTATCATTTGCAGGAACC